CGTGTGAACTTAAACATTTTTTAGTTCATCTCGAACCTTCGCCAACGATTCGACTGCGAAAATCTTTCTGCGTCCGAACATGTTTCGGAAAAAGGTGAACTCTTCCTCACGTTTTTCTGCATTCGCTTATTCCTAATTTTATCGATTAATATTATCGAGTAATTGTGGAGCTTTAAATCGGAGCAGGGAAGGTTGTCAAAATAGTTCATTCTCGTATGACTTAGTTTGAGTTATCTGTGATATTCTGCTCACCTACCTTCATGAGACAATGTATGATGTCCCTACTGTTTGTGGAATGGGTTTTCTGGGCGAAATTTTTCAACTGGAATTTACACTCCTGACTGCATCATAATCTCGAATTGCGAGGAAAGATATGGGAACAGGGAGTAAAAATCTGATGTTTGTTGAGAACAGTCCAATAGATGCTTTTCAGCTGGCGTTGGAAATACTGTGGAAAGCCTTACTTTTTACACCTACATGCTTCATTCAATGTTAATTTTAATTCCTTATTTTGAAAAATTAAAATAGGCTTTATGCAGTGTTTCCTCCATACATCAGATACTCCATCAAAATTAGAAATTCTCAAGAATCAATTGTTTGGTGGAAAAGTTTATGCGAATAGAAAGGAGCAGAATTCAGGACCGTAGTTGGGAAATTATTTTGTAAGGCTTGTAATTAAGCATGGAATGGATGTATGGATAGGTCTCGGGCAGATTATTATTGGTACTCAAAGAAGATAACAATTTCCCTGCTAGCTACAATGTCAGAGAAAGTACCTTTTGTCTGTCATCTCTTTAAAGCTAACTTTTGGAATAACTTTTGGAGGTACATGTGATGAGATTAATTTCGATAGCCTGTAAGCAAGCTTGTATCATTAGGGCTTCGTAGCAAAATGCACTCCGAATGGTAGGCTTAAGTCTTCGATTAGATATAGGAATGCGGGTCAGAGCTAGAGATTTCAGGAGAAAGCTTTTAGGAAATCTTGCTCCGGAAGACATCACAGGTTTTTTATGGGGAAGATTTCTTTTTTTACGTTTGTCCCCTACCAGTCAGGGAAATCGTTGATCCTTATGGAAAAGAATTTTCATTGTCATGGTCATGCGGAGTGTGTCAGTCCCATGATTTTCCACTGTATCCATACCATTTCAGGTTCTTCTCCCTCCCTTCCTTCCTCCCACCTTCTCTCTCTCCTGCCTATTCCCATTTTAGATTGGCAGTTGGCCCGATGCTAAAAAGCCAGCGGTAAGTAAAACATGAATTCGACGAACACGTGCATCAGTACCAGGAAGGAAAAGATAGAGGAAGAAGTTTTAGAAAGGAGGGGATCAGGGGAGAAATAATTGGCAGATGTGGGCGGAGACTCGATTTGCCCCTTCACCTTCTGTCATGAAGGTCTGCAGTAAGTGTTGGCACTCACACAGATCCTTATGTCAATGAATTGGCTCCAGCTCATGCTTATTCTTGTCGTGAGCACATCTGTGTTTTGCTGCGTTGTCCGACGCTATGTACTTCTCTCAACTCTTTCATGGCCGGCATGCAATGCAGGCCTATTCCTTACGAGCCAAATTGATCTTTAGACTGGCCGAACACTTTAATTTGAGCCTGCAAGGTCGAAGAATGAGAGGATACTGATAGTAATCAAATATATCTACCAGTTAGGATGTCAAGGGGTTCCTGGTAATGAGGGATAGATTGGAGGGAACAATGAGACAAATTAGGGCGAGAGTGCTTATTACATTGTTATGGCACATCAACAATTCCGTGCTTATGAAGTGTCAACAGTTCTGGAATGTGGAATGAATGGTGAGGCATACCTGCCAAAAGGGGGAAGAGAACGAGGATTGGACTGTTGAGGGAGGAGAGTTATTCAAATGTGACGGGGCCTGCGTGGTGCTTGTTATGACGCATTAACGATTTGGGAGGATGAGGGGGTGGTATCCCAATAGCCTAAGACAGGGAAGTGAGTGACAGATTGCAATCAGTCACACACGTGATGATTGTTTTGAAGCCTCAGGGATTTGAGGTGTGAAGAAGGGGAGAGCGGAGGTGAAAGGGAAGAGAGAGGAGAGGGGAGAGTGAATCTGGATCGATGTCTACTGGAAGGCCCCCCCCCCCCCCCCCCGCGCGAGTCCCCGACCCCAGACATTCAGTGGCCTAACTGCACCCTCTATTCATTCATTTATTCATCACCTGCTGCTCACACTTTTGAATACTGTCGCTTCCTCCGCCCCTGCTGACCTTCAATGACTCGAATCCGAACGCCTCGGACCCCCTTTGTACCATCCTTATTCTTTCATCCACTGATAAAGTGGGTCATCTGGGATCTGGCTCAGGACTGACTGCCGCGCTGTAGTTTATTAATCCAACAAAAATCCTTTTTTGAAATGTTTGAAATGCAAATGCTTACTAAAATTATATTTATATTTCGAATCAATATAAATACTGCTATATAATTATCTTTTAACGTAACGATATGCAAAAATGCTGATTTTTTCCGAGGCAAAAATACGGGTACTTTAATTTTATGTACTGTTTACAACGTTGCGCCTTTTCCTAATGATCAAGCATAGACTAAACATATACGCTAACTGTCCAAAATTAAAATTAAAATCGATGATTCGGCCAAAACGAAAAATAACGCCAAATTCGCTACTTTTCACCGTAATAGCCAACCTTGCTTCCCCCCCCCCCCATTCTTTCAGGACTGCTGAGAGGACGTTTTTAGATTAGAATAAAATATTAGTATTCCTCTCTCTTTAAGCAAGAGACATATATTGCAAAATACGATTAATATTGCTGATGATGTGTGAGAGCTGCAGTCAGAGTAAGAATCACTAGGTTTTCAAGTCAAAGTGCCTGCTGAAAGGTCTTCCAACTTTTATGTAGTTCATGAGGCAATTTATCAATGAGTGGGCAGTGTTGATCAGCAAATACATTTTCCATTTCTTTTTGCAGGAATTCTTTTGAAACAAACTTAAAATCACTGGCCATAATATAGACACTATCAGAAATATATATTAGGAAAGGAAAAAGGACAATGCACCGCCACGCAGAAGTCACAATGTCCTACAATTCCTCAACGAGAATGACATTGAGGTATTGCCCGTGCCCAATATTCGCCCCAAGGGAGTTTTACTCTTTCCGAAATGGAAAGATTCGCTAAGGGGAACACCCGGGTGATCGTCGATCTGCCCTCAGATCCTCAATTTATCAGTGGTTTCAGAATACCGTAAGGTGCAAATTGTAATATTTTGCCGTGGATTGAGATATTCCAGAAGTACCTCGCAGTAAATGTTGAGAGGCAGAAACTGAAGCTTTTCCAAATATTTGAATTTTCAAAATAAACAATTTTGATACTGCACCTCGTATATCTCAGTACTAATACATGAATTAGGAGTAATACTGAAGTCGAGATTCCATTTGAACATGCAATGCAGACTCGGCTCTTTTCTCTAAGGAGTTGGAAAATGGTCTGTTCAAGTAATTTCATTCTATCGGATTCTCTAAGTGCTTCGCAACCGGTGTGCCGCGGCAAAGTCCCTGATGTGCCCCGTTTTTTTTTGTTGGAATTATAGGAAAATAAATAATTGTCTTCTATTATTCTCAAGCTACGACCGACGAACGTCGGTCAAATTGACTAGTGGGTGATGAAAATAATCACTTTGACATTGTGAAATTTGATTCGGCATGCCGCGAGGATCGAGCAAACTCGAAAGCGTGCCGTGAAATAAAAAAAGTTTGAGAAGCACTGCTCTAAGGGAATGTGGAATACGCTTTTATACCATGCTTATTGGCTGCTTCCCATTCATCCTTGTACCGTCCTGTCCCATCCATCAGAGGCTGATCTCTACTTTGGCGTTTGACGGCTTGCAACTGATTCTTAGCCGAATTCCGGATGTTGGTACCCCCCATCCACCCTATTTTCGCCCCCTGGTGAAAAGGTTCGTTCCGCCCCTGAGAGGGGAAAGAGGGAGAGTAGCAGAGGATCGATCCGCCCGGTCTCTCTCCCCCCCCCCCTCTCTTTCCCCTCCCTCTCGTAGAGAGCCATACCAAAGCCAGGGGAAGAGAGTCCCTCATCATTTCTCTTGTGCGTATTCCCCATTTTCGGCCATGCTGTGATTCCATTCCTCATCTATCTACTAGAGCGAGTAGTTTATAGTTGTGCTGCGTGCCTTGAAGTACAAGATGGTGACGGAAACTCCCGCTCCAGGCTCGATGGTAAGCCCTTCGTAGAATCCATCACGAGTACAGCATTTGCCCTTAAAGGAATTCTCGGTTCGACATTATGAGGGGTCAACTCTCCTCGAAGTGCTCCTCGAAAACTCTAATCGAAACTCTTGGGTGTGAGACCTGAGAGCTCATTTCCATGAAAAAAAAAAGGTTGTAGATTGGGAATGTTAATCAGATGCCACTGGCGTTAAGATTAGGGATCTTATTGCTTTCTCGGGGGGTGCTAATTTTTTGCCTGATAATTGTACTCTGTTAATGGATAGCGACTAGAAATTACCATAGGACACTTCAGGTTCTTTCTATTGTGTGTGAATTTTTTCTTAGGGCGAGATAAAAAAAATTTTGGGCAAATATTTCGCGTAGGAATCCTTTCAAGAATCTGGCTTCGAATATAGTAGACTAGAGAACTGCAGAGACGGCTTGTCGAATGCTGACCCAGTCATTTGCACCCTACAAAAAACACGGGAGAACGATTTATTGTGACAGGTACTTGTTTGGAATCAATCCTTCGGTATAGAATACTGCCGTGCTACAAGGTAGGAATGTGAGAGTGGGAATTAGAGAAAGTTGATTTTCGACTAATACCACATGCTGTGTGTAAGACATGCACACATCTGACGAATGAGAATGATCTCCACACATGGTGTCTATCACATGGGAAGCGAAGAACATATTGTAGATCAGGGCAGTTTCTTCCTGACCAAAACAAATTCCTTCTCTCCCCTCAATGTTAGCTCTTCGCTATCTCGGAATAGTTAAGGAAAATTATGATGCAAGTGTGTAACTTTGTTTTACTGTGGTGGGGGTATGACATGTATATAAAAGAAAACCTATTGGTGCAGGGCTCTTGCCTAGGAATTTGCTAATTTTCTTGCCATCGAGCTTTCAGTATCAAGATGCATCCATTTTTTTTTGGTCGGAGTTCCAACATACACGGTTTCAAGACATCTTGCTTGGGTCTACCATTTGTTAATGGGTGCGGACCCAGGCCCCTATCCAGCAGTATGCAAGGATTGACCAATAGCAAGCAATGGTTGCGTCCTTTTCATGAGAATACCTTTTTTGGCTTAACTAATTTTAAAGTTATTCTTTCATGCAAGTTTTCTTATTTCTTTTGTTAACTTTGAATTTCGAATTCGGCAATTATATTTCAAGAAGATAATTCTATTTAGACTTTGTATTATATACTCTTAGAATGCATCTCCGAAATTTCATTTCACTCAACCGTAACTGAGGTAGACAATGAAAGATAATTATAGGAAGAAGGAGCCACGTGGAAGAAAACGAGTCAAGGACTACAGGTAGACCTGTATACTGTATTCCAAAAACTTTATTGATCTGTCGGATGAGATTAGAATAGATATACAGGACATTGAAGACTCAAAGCCAAATGTATCTATGAAGTCATTCGAATTTCATGCCACTGTTTTGGTTAAATTCAAGGGGAAATGAAAGGGACAGAGGCATGCGGAAACCTGTCAGGTATTTAAAATACTTTTTTTTGGGGGGGGGGGGGATTTCTTATGCAGCACGCCTTTGGGATTTGATGCAGGATTGCGTAAGCAAAGGGGGTGTTGTCATGATGTTGGCTGGCATGCTGGGGAAAAGTGTCGGCCTTTCTCGAGTAAATGAGGCATAGCTGAACTTTTTTCCGCCTTGAAATTAGAAGAAAATTAACTTTTTCCATAACTCACGATGAGGTTATTGAAAGTGAATGTTTCTGTCAGATGAGATCGTCATGCACCTACATGCAGGAGACTTATAATGTCTTGTTTCGCATGATCCTTCGTGAGATTGTCGTGGTCCTGCGTGGTAGATCGTGGTCGATGAAAAGAGTCGCACTCATCTGGCGAAGAACTGGCTGTGATATGTGGATACTCTCACCCAGAATTCTGCTACGCCACAGATATTCCGATGGCTCTGACAATGGGTGCTCGAGTATCATTGCTGGCCTTAAACCTCCGTATATCTTATAATACACAGTATACTTTCAGGGCTTTTGGCATGATTTACACTACGATAATAAAGTTCTCCTCGTCTTCCACCAAGTCATGTACGGCCACATGGTTGTGGTGTGTGGTTACATTCGCTGAGGATTCCATCATCCACCTCAAGCAGATGTTTGGATGGTGGAATCAGCGAATGCAAATCAAGCACCTTCAGCGCCCCCTATATATGACCTTGAGCTGGATTTTTTCCAAAGTTTCTTTGAAAGGCGGCTCGAAATGACTGATAGAGCTTCCATCACTTGCACGTCAGCGCCTTGACATTCATGGAAGGTTCGAAGAAACAAACCTGCTTGATGAGAATGAATCCCCATGAAATAGTTATAGATATCTTTTCTCATTACACATCCTCTTGCATACCGACCTTACTGGTTGGAATATCTTTTGTTATGGACTGCATCATTTGAATGGTTTCTTCGACCTCATTACCAGCATTTCGTCGGCTTTCGTGGTATTTCATTGACAGCAGGATTTTACACTCTGATAAATGAATATTGGATACTATTTAAAAATCGGAATGTCCATAAATCCAGACACGTCATTCAGATGGATACGAGTGGGAGAACACCCCATGTGACCTTTTCCTTCTGTAACTCGAAAGGAAAGAAGGCGAGACTCATTTGGCCCCCGTCCAGCGCCTTCTCGTTCCGTGCAGGGATATTAATAATTGTGAGCCCCGTTGTATGGGATCCATCATCAGGCTTGTCTGTCGCCATCATTTATCCTCATTTCGACCTTGAATCTCATTCTCCCTTTGACTGTAAATACACTCTCGCATATCTAACATGCTTTCAGCGAGTTACTTTGATCCTCAAGAGAACCGACTGGGGTACTTGATTTGCTCGCACTACTATGCAAAACTTAAAAAAAAATTATCTGACACTTGATAATGCAGGAATCAGACCTGCAGAAACTCGTGTACCAATTTTGGTACCATCACCAAAGTACACAAATTATGTACCATGATGAAATCTCATTTTACAGGAAATTCCAAATTCCTGGCTGACCGATCTTCATTGCCGTTGTGGATTTCAAATGACGTAGCATTGGTGATAAGGCATTCAGACACGAACCTCTGTTGCCTTTAATAATAATATTTCTCAGCTGTTTTGGTATAGCAAGGTTTTTAGACCTGTCCAGAAATTTAGAACTTCTAACTTATTCCCAGGTGTCTTCTGTAGGTAGATTCGTCAGTCGATTATTGTGCATCTTTCAGGTAAAAACGATGGTAAAATAGAGCAACTACTCGCACGGGCAATGCTTCTCTGCATTTCGTATAACTTACTGAGAAGAGATCAATTGGAAAAAGTTTTTCAATTCCGTTGTCAGCAATATTATTAGATCTCCCCACCTGCGAAATATCCTTTGACCTAATTCAGAAAAGCTTGTCAATTGGGAATCGACGGACAGACGTAGGATACGATGAAAAATCGTCGAAGCCCTTCGAAACCTACTACAGCAGAACCCGCAGCATCTATAGGCTGAAGTCAAGGCTGTTTAAGGTAATTCGACGAAGTTCTGAGTGATGAGATTGTTTCAGTTTACAATTGAGCTTGGGCTTGTGCCTTTGTTTAATGAAACTTTCCATCACAAACCGACGCCGCAACTTATTTAACGGTTTTTGTTATGCAAAGCTTCGAATATTCCAGCTCCCCGCAAGGAAAAAATTTTGAATCTTCGTACCATAAGCAGCCTTCGTTTTGAACGGGGAAGCCTAGTAATGACACCAAATCAAATGTATGACCTTGCTTTTTCCAAGTATGCCAGGATGACGGCTATGCAATACTTAACACTATTTGCATTTTCTTTTCGACAAAATTTTTGGATCACATATTATAATACAGGTCCGGATATGCCAATTGTAGTTTAAAATGTCAAAAATTACATTCTTTTTGGCTTGATTTTTTTTCCAGAACGACACAAATGCAGCGTTCCTGCGAGCAGCAAGAGCGGGAAATTTGGAGAAAGTCTTAGAGCACCTGAAGAGCAACACAGACATCAACACTTGCAATGCCGTGAGTTACCAAAACCTTCATTGTTATAAGGTTATTCCTTCCTTGTTATTTTGCCTCAAACTTTTTATTCGGGATTTTGAACCTAAGCTGTGGAGTTTTCCTTCGGAGAAGGCATATCACAGATACATTTGCATTATCTGGAGCGTTTGTGTCTCCCGACATTCTCAAGCCTCCCATACGTCGAACCGTGCTGCTGGTTTGACAGCTTTTGAGATTTAGAAGGAAGTGCAACAGATGGGAGTGGGCGGAGGCTTTACCTTCCCCTATGAAGTCTGGGAGGGAAGAGGCATACAGCCTTGTAGTTGGTGGTCAAATTTAGACCACGGGAAGGAGGCAAGTGGAAAGGAAAAAAAGGAGAGGCAGGAGGTATTGGCAGTCTGCCCATGTTTAACCTACCCGTTCCCCTTCCCATCTCATGCAGATTCGTCTGGAAAAAAAAAACAACAAAAAACATTCCTTTCCTGGTGTCCACATGCATGCGCCCTTGAACTTCACACCTCAGGACAGGTTCACTGCTCTCCATCAGCGAGGAATCACCTCCTTCATAGACTTCATGCTTGACGTGCTGCTTACTTTATTAGGCAACTAATTAGGAAATGTGTTGAGGATAGGCTGCTTGTAATGAGATGGATGGGAATATTGGATGGAGATGACAATGACGATGGTGGTGGTGATGGTTGTATGGGGATGAGGGGGATGTTCTCTTGATGGGAACAATTATTGAGAGGAGAGGAAATCGGATTCGGCCTCAGTGCTGGACCAGGGAAAGAGGGATATCGCGTTTCGAGGGCAGATGAATGTTGAGTCAACACGGTTGAAAGAGGTTCGAAGGAATCAATGCAAAGGGAGTGGGATGGCTGCGTTCATTGAGACGCGGACCTGGTGGACGTCTTCAGAATCCTCACCTTCATTCATTAACAGTGATAGACACCCCAAATTGAGTCATCCCAGGCCTCCATATCTGGTCCTTCCTTGCATGAGATTCAAATCTTGATTTCGAATCGAAGAATATCCGTCCTATGTCTGGGAATTCATATCAGATTGAAGTCGCGGCACTGAAATTGAGATTCGAATTTCCATATTTAACCCGATTCTCAACCCAGAATGGATCTCAAGCTGATCACTTCAAATCCCATGTCTCAGTTATGACGTCAGAGATGAGCAGTGTTGGTAATATTTTTTTTCGTAATTTAGCTGTTGCTGACCGATGAGTCTCAGGTTGGAGAAAATTACAAGAAAAACTGAAAAAATTTTCAGGAAAGGAACCAATTTCCGTATAAGGTCCGATTCTTCTGACACCTCATGTATTCGAGTTAATTCACTTAATTCGCAAGTAAGGAAGATGCAGTTCACTCCCCATGAATCTTGAACGGTGGAGGAACCCTAAGAGGAGGTTCCTCTATCACGTCTTTGGCGACCTATATGAGAAATTTAAATAAGTTCTCTCATTCATTTAGTTTGTTGTCACGTCTCCTTCCCTTTTCACTTAACGGGTTCCTTCCTTCCGATCGTTTGATCGATAAGGCTCGTTTTCCTTCTCTCGTGTAATCACGTACCTGAAAGCGCAACCGCACCACCATTACTATCCATGCTTTCGTGACTGGACTTCATTTGATGCTCCTTCAATTATTTACTCGCATGCAATGCCTCCGCTGCGCACCCCCCCTGCTATCCAGAATTCGGGTGAAGTCACAATTTTCTTGTTGGGGAGCCGCATTTCCGAAAAGTTTCATCATACAACAAGGGAACAGGATGATCCTCTCTCGTGTCCTCTATCAGAGAGCAGGAACCACTTCAAATGGTGAAAATGTCCAATCCCAGCCTGGATTGTGACTAGAATCTGCAATCCCATCTATCTAATCGTGCTATAACTGTAAAAAAAAAATAACTGAAACACAAAGTTTCAATGTTGCAAGGAATAGCACTCCTGTATATTATTCCATTGACCAAAGCAAGGAACGCAATAATACCTTTTAAAGCTCTGGTATTGCTCGGAAACGATTCCTTTTCATGCTGAGAATTATAGTGTACAATTTCAGTTCTGATTCCCTCTGTCTCACGTATTCCATCTCTCCCCACCCTCCCCAAACAATACAATTAGCCACACACATACGAAAACATTGTGGAAGTCAATATGACCCCTGTTTATTCCAAGAAGAAATTCGGAATGAAATCTCCATAAACTTATGAATTTCTGAACGGTTAAGGTTTTTCAAGAATTATTGCGTCACTGTTTAAGCCTTTCTAATTGGGCACAATCTTTTTTGATGCTCTTTGTCACAAGGTCGAGAGTGAGCGCGGGAGATTTTTCACTGCAACTCTCTAGATCAGGGGTCGGGAACCTATGGCTCATGAGCCAAATTTGGCTCACGAACCAAAAGGTTTGGTTCATTGAGTCATGACTGAAAATCATGGTTGCTCCACATTTTTTCTCATGCATCAAAGAATGCATGCGTATGTTGCCAACTTCAGAAGATATTCTGATGTTCTGAAAATCTTTCGCTCACAAGCACTTAGCTAAATCTTAATATGGCTCACATAGCCAAAAATGTTTCCGACCCCTGCTCTAGATGATGCCAATCCGTTCTCCTAGTGCAGGGGTGCCCAACCTACGGCCCGCGGTGACAGTTCATCCGGCCCGCGGCGCTTCCCGAATATTATTGTACTCGTAAATGTAATATTAATGTTAAAAAAATTGGTATTGCGGCCCACGGGAGGCCCTTTAAGGGGGCAATGCGGCCCAGTTGGGCAAAATGGTTGGCCACCCCTGTCCTAGTGGATCGTACTAAATGCCTTTCCGTACTATTTGCGGAGTTTTGAGAGACGATATTATGCCATCAGCATGATATGAGTTCTAATGATTCTATGATTCAAGTCTTTTGGCTTGATGAATGAGATTAGACTTTCGAGATGGGTAGAAAATTTCTTAGATTTTTCTTTACATGAACTGGGACCATCCACTGACGACTTTCAAAATGTTACCAACAAGAAATACATGCTTCCTTTTAGATATACTATTAAATTCATCCCTAGTCCATTAGTCATTCGTCCATTGTAATCCAGGATTTTTTTTATGCAAGTGCTTTTATTCTGGTGATCCCACACAGTACATACGGTATATCCCAAAGATTCCCAGAGATATCCCCTTGGGACAAGTGCGATGTCCCAGAGACAAGGAGTAGGGATATCAAAATGCCTGGGCCCAATGACATCTCAAGGATGTCTCTTTCTTGCAGCACAAGTATATCCGAAGGATGTCCCAGAGATATCCCCCTGGGACAAGTGAGAAGTCCCTGGTAGTTCTTGTAGGCGCCTTTCTATCCGAAATGGACTCATTTTCTACCGCACAGGAGAACCCATTACTGTCGATGTTGTCTCTTTTTGATCTGGGAACACCTAATCTAAGTTCTTGACCGATTGAAGAGTGACGATTAAATAGAGGAAAATCCTGTTCTTAAAGGGGGCCCCTTCATAGGAGACACGTCTTCAAGGGACGAAATTTAGCACTTTTATAAAAGTGGTCATGGACAAGATGATTAAGCCTTACGCATCTTGAAAAGTATGGGCTCAGGCCTCAAACCAAGATAGTTGTATCCAGACATGCCGATCACTCATCATTAAATAGAATATAGCGGAATAAATTAAAATTCGGACCGCTGTTTTTTCACTTTCCCTGGTGGCAGTTTTCCTTATGTACGGTACGCAAATCCTTACTTATCCTCAAGACAAATCAAGTAGATGAATTCGATAGAAAAGCTCTGAGGTTGCAGATCAGGGCTCACGGGAGACATCTACCGTCGAAGGTATGCACCTGACTGAGGGCGACAGAGAGCACTGAAGATGCCTAAAGACATCCCTAAGATGTCCCTAAGACATCCTCCTCAAGATATCGAAAAGCGTTCGACTGAAGATGTCTAAAAGACGTCTCTTAGATATCCCGAAGACATCCCTTACGAGATGTTCGAAACCGTCCGAAAGAAGATGTCTTCAGGATGTCCTATGAAGACCAGGGGACACGTCGTCCAATCACTGTGCTGTGCGGGAGATGTATATCTAAATACGCTGATGCACTCCTATGAATTTCTTTTTTCAGCTGCTAATCAATCAGGCACTCGATATGTATTTAAATTAGAGTTCTCGAGACCGACGACAACTCACACTACTTCACTTCGAAACGGTGTTTTTTTTTCCAGCTGATGCATGACAGCTACTTTTGCACGAAGCCCGAATACGAAGGTCCCAAGTACCGGCCGTTCCCGACGCGTCGCGAAAAGGGGGATTTCGTCGCGATCGGGCCGAGAACGGAAGGCGCGTCGGAAAAACTGGGGAAGTGTCCCGTCGAGTGCCGACCGAAGAACCACCAGGACTGGGAATACTGTTGACATCCGCTTGCGGCTGCTCTTTTCCTCTCGTCCGTCGGGAGTTCCAGCAGATTCAATCTAGATATTCTGTAGCTCAGTCCCAGTTGTGTGCCGGACGTTCTGTAAATCTGGACATTCTCTAGGGATACCTTGGACCCTGGTTTTGTCTTTTTTTTTATTAAAAATGAATATAATTTGAAGGTAATGTTTTTACTTTTCTCGGCTTGGACCCACTCGGGTTGTGAAAAAAAAAATTACATAGTGATTGGCATCGTAGGTCTTACCAATGCTGAAGCAAATGAAAAGGTATTCCATCAAATAGCCTGAAGTCCGGCTTCTTACACCCGACCCCCCGATTGCACTGAACAAGATGGCGCTCGAGAATCGCCGAGTGAAACTTGAAATAGCCGCGGCGACATCGTCCGAAATTAATTATGGAACAGAGTGTGTTGAAGCGTGGGAGAGTGTTGTTGCATGCGACACGTGACATAGACCTTGGCTTCCCCATGAGAGCATAAATTACACATAGAAGGTTCGTCCTTTGAAAGTTATAATGGTCAAGCTAAGAACATGGACTCGCGATCAAAAGGGAGCGAAGGTCCAGGTCCGGGGAAAAAGAAGAGCGTATCTGACGAATTTCGACGAATAATCATTACTCGAGAGTTGAATCACGATGGAAATCCTTTGGAAAATATGGACGTGATTCTAACGTCCATGACGTATAAGCGAAGTCTCCTGTCGCCAGCATCTGCCGAGCATTCACGGGTGTTAAAGAGAGTTCTTGGCAAGGTGAAAACCTAGAACGGCATCACGCCTGATGAGTCGGTAAAGCGAGCGAAGGAAGAGGAGCAGCAAGAATTCTTATCAGCAATGTCCGCTGATTCGTGGTCGCTGAGGAACGCGATGCCAGCCTGAAGACGCTTCATCGATTTCGAGGAGCACCAAAGACAAAATGGTGAAAGTGAAAAAATGGTGAAAGTAAAGTAAAGTTGGTCCAGTTTCCACCAGGATTCCGAAAATCGCGGGAGCATTTTGTCGGGTCGCCCGAGTGTCTCCCCGTTCTCCGAACCGACCCGCAATGTCGACCCGCAGATGGAAATATATCGTCTGGCCGGATGCCGTACGTTCAATCTCGTCGTTCCCGTGATTGCCGACACTCGACAGGGATTGCGAAGGAAATCCCGACGGACAAGAAATGACTTGGAAGGATCGCATCTGCTCGTCGATTTCCTCGCGTTCCCTGTCCGTTTCTTCTTCGTCCTGCCTGAAGCATTTCTCATGCCACTCTCAGAGGTCTGGGGTGGCACGAGGAATCGTCCTGACGGCACCAAATATTCTCCTTTTGCCCTCTTCATCTCCTCGAGCGTCATGTTCCTCGCTGGTGCCATGATCGATCCACCGGAAACGATTTCTCTCTCCGCCCACGAATCTCGACGACGACGATCGGACGACCGCACGGCGTCTCCTTCTGTCGAGCGAGGTCAACGAGGTCAACGGGCGCGGTCTCCTGCGTTGCCCCTGCGTTTTCAAATCGCGAAGGTCACGGAAGGACCCACGAAAGCGCGCGTCATTCTTCAGCTTCGCATTTTGAGCGATGGATAAATACACGAGGAAAATGAGGCGATGGCTTTCCTCGAGGAGCATGGGTCAACATGCCATTTTTTTCTGGGATTGAAGATTGAAGAGATGTTCGAATAAAAAAATTAAAAAATAAAATTAAAAATTAAAAATTAAAAATTAAAAATTAAAATTAAAAATTAAAAATTAAAAATTAAAAATTAAAAATTAAAAATTAAAAATTAAAAATTAAAAATTAAAAATAAAAAATAAAAAATTAAAATTAATAAAAAAATAAAAAATAAAAAATTAAAATTAAAAATTAAAAATTAAAAATTAAAAATTAAAAATTAAAAATTAAAAATTAAAAATTAAAAATTAAAAATTAAAAATTAAAAATTAAAATTAATATTTAAAATTAAAAATTAAAAATTAAAAATTAAAAATTAAAAATTAAAAATTAAAAATTAAAAATTAAAAATTAAAAATTAAAAATTAAAATTTAAAAATTAAAAATTAAAACACGGCAGGAGGCCGTCCCTCTAGACCCCACTTCGGTGCGACAGTCAATATTTGCCCTACTCACGGGAAAGCCATCTATCACATTTGTTGGAACGAATTGGGTTCCCACCGGCGCCGCCAGATGGCGCGGAAACAGCGGATGTTTGAGTCGGATGGAGCGACCCGCCCTGCCTCCGAGAAACTTCACGCGGAAGTAAATCTCTTCCGAAAGATAACTGGGATGCGGATGGATGAATGAAGGAGGAGTCCCTCGAATGACCTTGACCGCGTTTTCTCGGAGGGCAATTACTCGGTCGGGGCTGGTCTTCTTACCTGACTTATTCGTGTTTCGTATGTAAAAACCGTTGTTTTATAGGTGCGTGATGTATGTTGCAGTAATTGCTCTCGTGAACCTTTAATGCCGTTTTGTTCCCATCGGTTACGACAGGGAGACATCTTTTACGGACAAAGGAATATAGACCCTGAGAGAAGGAAGCTCCTATATTTACGGCCTGAAGCCATCCTCCCTCCCTTGGGAGCAAGCGGACTCCTCAAAGGAATAAGCGCTTCCAGTCAGGCCATTCGCGTTGCCTTGCGTTTCCCGACTTCGGTCGCGGGGTTGCCTCACGGCGGAGGTGGCTCGGGTTCCTCGTGCTCGCGGTGAGTCCGCCGATGCCGTTTGGTATTCGCCGCGGATTCGCGTGGGATTCCGCGCTGACGGGTCTCGGTTGTTTTGGCCGACTTTAGAATTTCGAAACAGTGGAACAAAATTTGCAGACGTCTACGGTATTAAAAGTAAAAAAAATTCAGTTCAAATTTTAAAATGAACTTCTTGTAAATTTTCTCACGCATTCACTGAACGATCATCAATGTTTATATATAATACGGCATACGATACGAACGTATATTGCGACCCTTTCGATGAATGGGATCGAGTGGAATGACGCTTTTAGTTACCCCCTTCTACTCGATAACCACGCCCTAACGCACACCGCCTACAACGCTATGCCTTGTAAGGCCATGGATTAGGCGGGAAATTTCGTTCGGTCAATGCTGGGGCACCTAGGGATATTTTACGCCGTGTTTCTCACGTTTTCTTCTCCCACAGGAGCATTCGAACTGGGGAAAGAGCGAACCACTTCCTGGCGGCCACTTCGGAAAATTGGAACGCCCAATGAGAGAGAGAGAAAAAGAGAGGGAGAGAGAGAGAGAGAAAAAAAAAGGTCTGAGTCGAAACCGAAACCCATTGAGAACCCGGGGAAGCAAAAAGCTTAGACGGAAACGATCGGCCTGAAAAAATGCCTCCGGAATCGAGGCCACATCCCACTCGCACCCGCCTCCTCCCGCTTCCTCGAAGGAGGCAGACACTCCACGAAACGTAATGGGGACGGAGAGCACGATCGCCTTTGGGCCCTCATTCCGATCCCAGAAATGGTTGGACGCTGCTGTGATATGCAGCGTATTGCGTCCTTTTCCTCGAAGGATATTCTCTATTCCAAAGTTAGAAAAAATGGTACGCCCTTCAAAATATTTTTTTTTTCAGCCATGGGTGCTCATGAGAAACTCCATAGGCAACTCTCCCCCCCCCC